GGTACTGAGCAGCCTCACAGCTGCTGAACTCCAGTGGGGCTGCCAGCTGGGAGCTGCAGGTGTGGCATGAACCCACAGCTTCTAAAACTGAGCTGTGGTAAAACGTGTTGTGGTAAAACCTGCTGTTGTTGCAGTTCTGGGAAGCCCGTTTGGTAAGAATACACCGTAAACGTGATCTCGCAAACCACACAGCCAAGGAAGGGAAGGGCTGCAGAAGAAGGAGAAAAAGGAAACGAATTGATCAAGAAAAAAATAAGATGTGCATGTTCCTCTTGGCTGGAATCTAGAAATAAAATGCAATTATATTGCTTGGTTTGTAGGTTTAAAGCATTATTTCATTGCAAATTGAAACGATGATGCAATGAACACATTTGCATAGGTCATATTCAGTCCTTATTGTTACAATTGAATTGTCTTGCTCTAGAATTATTGCGTAACAAACCACAGTTCAGACCTTTAACTTTATGTTTTGATGTGAACATAGATCAAAATATCTTACACTGTTACACACTTTTTCGTTTGTATGCATTGAGGTAAGGTTGAGTATTCAATGCTTAATGGCCAAGTTACATGCTTTTATTGCTCATTGTCATACAATGCTTGTGTGCAATAAAATGCTTCTGCTCCTGGAGCTCAATATAGGCACACGATACCCCATTTCTACATCCTGTGCCTATAACAGAGCTTAACAGGAGACAGACCCCTTTTGCAAAATCTAATCGGAGGTCCACTGGAGCGTTTCTCATAGGGGAGGCACCGTGGGGCAGAATGAAGAGACAATGAAAGTCACATGTTTGTGTTGGTGTGCAGATCTTTCAGATCCCCAGTGCTTAACGCGCTGTTTCTGTACACACAGTGTAGACAGGAAACAATAACACGTTCCTGCAGGGTTCAAATTCAGACCTGCGTAAAAATGGGTCCATTTCTAGTTTGAAGGGGAAAAAAAATGAAGCGAAATTCTTACCAAAAGAGCTAAAAACAAATGAAAAGGCGGAGTTGCCCATCCTCCAAATGCTGCAACTATCTGCAGTAGAAAAACATCTTTAAAATGGTGGAGACAATTATTTTCCAATGAAAAGACTATCTGAAACCCACTGGCCCTTTTCCTTAGTCGTTAGTCAATGCATGGAGATTCAGGCCTCTGTAGATTGTGTACAATACCTTTTAAACCCAAACAGGCCTACAGGCCACCTTCAGTTGAGCCTGCACCCAAAGTCAATCAGGTGTCTGCTAAGACTGAATTATTAACTCTTACAGTTCTGAAGCTTGTACACTGTTTTTACAACAGGTCTGCTCAACTGGCTGCCTTTCCCCCTCTGCATCCGCTGTAGCACTTAATTACAACCAGCTCTGCGATTGCTGTGCTGATCCTGCTAATAATCAAAGAATTAAGGGGATGGTTGCAGAAAAACAGTGCAATGGAGAGGATTGGAGGAGCCAAACCTTAATCTAAACGAACCTGTTCCAACACCAGTCGTATTGTACAGAGCCTAGCATTGGCAGTCTTGGGCTGCCTTGTGAATCCTGGCCTCAGGCATTTTTGTTAATCTGATCCTCGTTAGAATTTTAGAATGCCTTCAGCTAAAAGAAAAAAGACACGATCATCAATAGGGCATCAAGCTTTAAAGTTGATTTCGCTCCTTAACAACGGCCACCTTCCTGAAGATATATGTTTGTTTTTGTGTAATGTGTAATATAGCAATACATTCTGGTGTTTCACTGATTGAGATCCTGTTGCAGTTTGTTTGTCTGTGCCTGCAGCCCACCCATCCCACATTGAAACTCCTTTGCTAGTGTCTTGAGAAAAAGAATTTGGTGCAAGTCCCCTCCTCCCAGTTTGACAGTTGGAAATCTAGTGTGTGCTTAGGGTTGACACATTAAATGGTCTGCAGTACTGGCTCAATCTAAGGCAGAGCTGTAGAGGAGCAAGCTATTTTGGTCTGAGTTGCAGCTGGGTGTGTTGATGTGTGAAACCTCTTGTCTTTGTATCAGTAAGGTAGGAAGGGAGGGGCAGTTGTTTCTTAATCTGATGAAGAGGATTTCATTAGTTCCTGTTTTGTCTCAAGCAAAAAATCATTTCTGAGAAGACACTTCTTTGTCAGATTACCACTCTTTTGGTGCCCATCAGAGTGAATACAAAGGCCCTGCTTACTTTGGTGGTCCCTGCTGAAATTACACAACACTGTGCAGCACAGGGATTGGAAAAAATGCGCAGAGCAACAGGGTTTTGACATAGTGCCACCGTCACATGAGTAGAACAGGAGTAATCTGCAGGTTACATCATGAGAACACAATGCTTTATCTTGGCTATTGCATTTTTAAAATGTAGAAATCTACAGCATTTGACTGGAAAAAAATTGCTACAGATGTACACTAGAATAGCATTTACAGTAAAACAAAGTATTCAAAGAGAACATGGGTGGAGAGAGAAACATCATACATGACATGTACTGTACATTACGAGACAGCAACAATACTACTGAATTCTAGAGTGCATGCACAAAGCACACAATTGTGCCAAAGTCACCCTTATTTCCAAATGACCTCTATTTTAAAGCACTTACCAAGAAACAAAATAAACATCTAAAGATGAAACTTGCAAGCATCCCAAATTATACCAAGCAGTTCAGCCTGTCTTTTAATCTGCCCAAATATTCAAGTGTCAGATCAGTGCTTAAATAAGGATACCCACAGAGAAACCCAATGGTTCCTGTTATTTTTAGGAAAAATTGCAAGTCCATCTCTTTTAAGAAAGCTGTGCACATTGAGTACATTGAGTTATAGTGGCCTTCAGCATTATTGTCACGCATGATGAACATGAAGACAAAAGCCATATAAAATGATCATCACAGATAATGAGTTGTATGTTATGCCCCCCATAAATGGGAAGACTACAAGCTTTTATTCTAATGAAACTATTTCACAACAACAGTTTTTTAAATTAGTAAGTATATTTTTTCCCGAAAGCATCTGTCAAAATGATCAGATCTTCTGTTTTTCAGTCTCCAGTCTTCAGTCTCCTCTGACACAGACAACAGCTCAAGTCCTTTTCCCTAAATGTGCCCCATAGTAATAAGGTTGAAGAACACCATTGGGGGGGATCATTCCTCTATGCAGAACTCTTTCAGACTCTTGATGTCCTTTTAGACTACCCTCTTATTCAGACTGCAGGTTAAGCAGGTTTAATCAGGTTTAAGGCAATTAAGGCCATCCAGAGGCTGAGATGACCGTTGCAAAACATTGATTTTGTTTTCCGTCAACCGTTTCTTTGTTGATTTTGAGGTGTGTTTGCAGTCTGTCATTGGAAGGTGGACGGTCCCTCTGCAACCAAGTTGCAGCTCTCTGGCAGAGTCGACTAGGGTTCTGGCTGCAATATCCTGACACAGCTAGTAGAGTTCATGATGCCATTGATCTTAAGAAGGGCCCCAGGGCCAGGGACAGCAGAACACCCCCCCGCAACATCAACATGTTTCACAGTGGGCACGAGGCTCTTTTCCTGGTGTGCTTCCCTCTGCTGACGCTGATCATACTGGTGGTGTGAGTGGCCATCTCATCTGCCCATAGCACCCATTTCCAATCAAAGTGACCCTTCCAAACAGCTGGTTGGCATGGTTGTACCAACTACTTGTTGACTTGGAGACCCGGTGATCCCAAAATCCAGTCAGCAGTGACCCTTGAATGCTTTTTTGCCTCCCTCACCGTCTTCCTCACTGTGCATGAGAACAAAATGCACTTGCATCCTTTTTCTGGTGAGTCAACTGCTGTTTTAGTGGTTTGGAACTTCTTGATTATTGCCCTAATAGTGGTAAGTGGGATATTTCACTTGTTATGTTTTTTTTCTATCCATTAGCTCATTTGTGAAGATCAAAAACCTTGACCTCCACTGATTTAGATAAATTATTTTAAGATGCCTTTGAACAGCAGAAGGTGATCAGAGTGAAGACGACAGCAGCACATATCTCAAGATTTAAACCAACAGCCTCACAGTAATGAAGTCAGAGCCCTGATCACTGCTGCTCACATGCAAACACTGAAGAATGTGTAGCTGTTGGACCGTCAGCTCTGCAGAACCTCAGAATCCAGCCAAGCACAGCCGGGTCAGGCATCACTGTTTTCAGGGGTTAAACTTAGCGTCAGTGTTTGAAACTGGGTCTCCATATATGTTACAGCCAATGTGCCTTGAACAAAGAATGCTTTTTTGGTGCAGGTTTCCATAGTGTAACAGTTATCAAATGTGCCTTTTAATACTGTAAAGAACTTCAGAAAAATGCTCTGGACATCCTAATAACCTGGCTTTAGTAAGTGGCTTGAGACCTGATCCTGGGTTTATTATTTATTTGGCATGCATTTCAGCACTCCAGGGGGTCAGGGGCCTTAAGCTGGCGTTCAACAAAATTGCTCAACGTAACTGATCGAACCAATCACAGCTGAATGGTGGAGTGTTGGAATAGTCACTCCTGGCTCAAGTGAATCATGAAAAGTTGTTCTGTTTTCTTATTTCCTCAAAAAGGGGGAAATCTGTCAAATATATGCTCCATATTAAGTATTACACAATGCCCATTAACCCTAATGAGGGCTATAATTAGGAAACACTAGCTTGCAATAAATTAATAATGCATCATGGATTCACAGCTACAGTATACTGTATCTAATGGTGTAGCTTAAGGCAAGATTTACTTTTTCAAAAAATAACAGAAAAGTAGAAATGTATGACCAAGTTTTCTACTAGACGGTTTTTGTGCACCAAAACAGTGCTTTCTTTCCACCTCTGTGTCTCTTAGCTCTGTGGCATTGGTCTGTAATGGGTGGGTCTAACCTGAGATGTTGAGGAAAGAACTGTGCAACTTCCCTTGAGCATATAACCAGAGAAACATCTGCAGAGTGTGCAGAAAGAGGGGATGGAAGACAGAAGGACAGACTGCCACTGACAAGCGTCTTGCGACACCGGGCAGGAGAAAGTGAGTGATTTCTCAGCGTCTACTGAACTTACTCCAAGTTACACGAGTAACATGAATAACATGATTTTAATGGGGAAGAGAGAACATATTTTTTTTGGGCGACCATACCAAAAAAAAACAAGAAGTGGTCACTTATTTTAATGATGTAGGTTTCAGTCGTGGGGTATACTTAACTGCTTTTGTCAGTGCAAATTTGGACTTTTCTGTTTCCAGTCTCAGTGCAGGATACTAAAGAGTAAACTCAATTTTATCCAAACAAACAGTCTGATTACATTTGCACAATGAATGCAATTAATGTACTCAGACTTGGGGGATAACTGAAGCCCAACACTGGAAAATGAAGGTAAAGAAATGGTTTATGTAATAATGCTCTTTTGTGACAGATTGTGCACTAATTTTGCAATGTATTTTTTAGTTAATGTTGTTTATTGGAGCAATTGCTTAATGTCGCAAAAAGCATTTACCAATAAAAGTGCTAATAAGAAAAATCATTTTCATGCATTGCTAATTATTACAGATGCATGGAATTTTCCAAAGCTGTACGTAAGAGGCAGTGGAATTAGTGTCATTAATAACACACTCTGTTCTTTATCAAGGAAAAAAGCCTTAAGAGATAGCCACAATACCAAACAGTTCATTGCCGTGGGCTGGAGTTTAAACCACCAGTTTAAATAGAGCAGTACCTCTACAGCTTGGTCACGTTCAGGCAACCACTGCCTGCCATTCACACGCACCTGATGACTAGAGGGACGTCATGCGTTTCCCAAGGCTCAGTGGAGTCTTTATCATAAAATCACCACCCGAGGCACAGGGACCCTCCAGGCAAGACGCAGTGTAGCGATGCAATAAAGAGATTCTCCCTCCAGCTGCACTGTGCAAAACAGGATCAAAGAGGAGAGCTGAGAGTTACGGTCATAACGAAAGCGTTACACACCCCAGCAAACCAAGGGGTGTGGAGCATTGTCTTCTTCTCACGGCCACATCATTTGCAGAGTTCAAATAAAACGCACAGGGTATGAGATTGCCGGGTCTGACAGATACATTAATGACGACTCAAGTGAAGAAAAATCATGCATTGCATCACAGTTGATTAAACATTGTTTTCGAGATGCATGCACAGCTGTGTTAACCATGATTTGTCTGTTGCCGGGCAGATAAAGTGCACTGCATTGGACCCCTGCTGCACCTCCTAAGTTGGCCTGTCCTGCAGGGCAACTACAGAGAAGACGAGAAGAGCAGGGTGTGTTAGCCTGAGCCGGAAACCAGCCAGGAGTTGCACACCTGAATGGCCATGGCGGTCTTCCGCTCCCTGAGCTCTGCCAGCTCCTGCCAGGAGACGTACTCCTGGACTAACGGCAACGTCATCCTGCAGCACTACAACTACACGGGCCGGCTGGCGCGGAGGCGGAGCGAGGACGGGGGCATCAGCGGGGTGAAGATCGGCTTCACCTTCATCAGCACCTGCATCGTCCTGGAGAACCTGGTGGTGCTCCTGGCCATCCTGTTCCACATCCGCTTCCGCAGCTGGGTGTACATCTGCATCGTGAACATCACCCTGAGCGACCTGCTGGCGGGCATCGCCTACGTGGTCAACCTGTGCCTCTCCGGGAACATGACCTTCCAGCTGACCCCCAGCCTGTGGCTCTTCCGGGAAGGCGTGCTGTTCGTGGCCCTGGCAGCCTCCATCTTCAGCCTGCTGCTGACTGCCGTGGAGCGCTACGCCACCATGATGAAGCCCCTGACTTACAAGACCAAACGGAAGACCTACCGCGTCTACGCCTTCGTGCTGCTCTGCTGGGTGGCCGCCTTCGTCATCGGCTTCCTGCCCCTCCTGGGCTGGAACTGCCTGTGCCAGTTGGACAACTGCTCCACCCTCCTCCCCCTCTCCTCCAAGAGCTACATCCTGTTCTCCGTGGTCATGTTCAGCCTCATCCTCATCGGCATCTGCTTCCTCTACATCTCCATCTACTGGCGCGTGAAGACCAGCACTGAGAAGACCTCCACGCGCAGCCGGCTGAAATCCATCCGGCTCCTCAAGACCGTCATCCTGATCATGGGGGCCTTCATCGTCTGCTGGAGCCCCCTCTTCATCCTCCTGCTCATGGATTTCTTCTGCGAGTCCCACCAGTGCGACGCCCTCTACAGCATGGACTGGCCCATCGCCATGGCCGTCCTCAACTCGGCCATCAACCCCATCATCTACTCCTTCGGCAGCACGGAGGTGCGCAGGGCCGTTGTGAGCCTCCTGTGCTGCTGCTGCTTCAGGACCGGCCTGCTGGACCCCAACTCCATCCTCTCCAAAGACACGGGGAACTCTTCCGAGAGCTCCCATCGGCACAACAGCTTCCGCAACAGTTTCCGGAACAGAATAGGGAGCACGAGCCCCACGCCCAGCAGCAAGCCCAAGAAGATCCGGCTCAGCTCCACGACCTCTTGTCTGTCTGTGTCGAGTGCCTAGACAGCCAAGACAGAGGTGTCATGGAAATAGTGTGGTGTTGTTTCATCCCACCAAGATACGTGAGACTCTTGGTACTTGTGTGAAGTGTGTGGATATCAGTTAAAGATATTACATTTGATTAAACATGAACTGACACTGTATATAATGCAAATCCCAAGCCAATAGAGATGTTCTCTGCTTAACATTGCCCTAGGAATGTTTTTAAGGTACGACCCATCCCTTGATTTATGCTAGAAAAAGCAGAGGAATGTCTTTTAATCCTTTTTAGGATTCATAAGGTTGAGTGAAACAATGCAATGATACTTAATAAAAAAACTGACCTGTAGCTCCACCAGTTGAGGAGGTAACTCATAGCTCAGGCTGGGACATGTGATCATGGTGTCACGGGTTTGAGTCTCAGCTGCATCACAGGCTGGCTGTGAGCGGGATTCCCCAAGCAGGGCGTGGGATGTTGCTGGAGGAAGGGATGGGATTGGTTGTCGAGGGTTAGCCGGCTGTGTCTTGAAGGCTGTCCATGGAATTAGCTCCCACAGCTAGGATTGGCTGCTTGCCCCCAGCTCTTGGGGGGACTGCAGTAGCGCCAGCCAGAGATGTACCGCTAGTTCAATCTCTGCTCACCCACCTGCACAGCTCCTGCGACGACACACTGGGAGGTGTCGGAGCACTCTCAGCTCTGCAGGTGGTCACAGCCAAGGCGCATGCCAGCGTGTCTGTCCTCGGCAGTACAGAAACTGCAGGCGCAATGCCAAGCCAGGGGATCACAGCGGGTGACTCCAACTTGAGCACAAAAGAAACGATAATGGACAGTACCAAATATTCTTGAATCAGGTCTGCGCTAATAAGAGATGGCTTAGACTGCAGCTTCGCCACCAAAGCAATCCCTCTACCACCGAAGTACATTTCAGGTGCCCTTTAAGGTGATGAACACAGATTGGAATGGTCTGTCTTCCCATCCAGGGTGTACCCTGCCTGGCGCCTGTTGCATGCTGGGATAGGCTCCAGCTCCCCCCGACCCTGAACCGCATTAAGCAGCTAGAAAATGTAAGAGTGGATGCAATACTAACCAAACTCACAGCCTTCCTGGAACTCCAAGAGCAGAACACTCTGGAATGGCAGAAAGTCCTTGTGCAACCAGACAACTGAAACATCCTGCTAAATGCCAGGAAGTCAGTGCAAACAGAACCGGGTTTTATGTAAACTTTCCTGCAAAAAAAAAAAGCACTTTCTTTTGAAATCTCAAGGTTCTTTTTTTTCTATAAAAAACTTTACCAAAATAAAATGTCACAGGCTTGACACAGAGAAAGCCTCTGACAACACACTGTACAGCTGTGTTACAAACAGGAAAACACGCAACGTGCAAATAGGATTTCAGAAGAGAAAACACTGGAGATCAGGACTCGTTTCTTGGAAGATATACAGTGTGGTGTACTTGGTTAACAGAATTGCACTGAAAAACAAAGGAAGTCATATTAGAAGAGAAATTCCTGATCAGTCTTACGCTTTGATGACATATTCGTATTTCAGAAACAGGCAATAATCACCATTTCCTAAGACTGGTGCACAATTATGCTTGCACTCCTAACAACTATGAAATAATGTCTCGGGTTTCTTTGTAAATCTTGAGTAACTCCAGCTCAGAACTGTCAAAGATTTGAAATAAGAGTACATGGGACACACATTAATCAGAAATTAATCAGAAATGCATACTTCTCGACCTGTGGACTAAAACTTTTGTGGACTTTTACAACATGTACAATGATATTTATGACATTTTTAAAATGTATCATGTCCCAAAAAAAAAACATTGAATTATAAAAACTGCTATAAAAAAGTACTATAAAAGTGCTTACAATCTTTGACATCCGTGTGCAATTCAATGTGCTGTATGCAAATGTATTCTGTTTTTAGCATCTGTAATATTTCATACCCCTATGTTAGCATTATAAGAAAGTATTGTAGCAACTGAATGTATCATTTTATTAATGTTTTTTTTTCAGATGTTTCAAGAATTAAATTCTATAATTCTCAGAGCTTGTTGCAAAGTAGTTGTACTAAACTGAGTTACACTTTAAAAATAATAAACAATAAAATAAACTATTTTGTGGCCATTGTGTCTTTGTATATTTAAAGTCGTTAAGGTACATTGATATCAATTTTAATATTCTACTTTTAACAATCCAGTTACAGCCCTACACCTGCTGAAAGGCGTTTAGACGTCGAAAATATAAACAAACAACTACAATATAAAATAAATAACGTTTGCTCAAATAACCATACATTATAGGGGCATTATATTATACATTATACAGTACATACCGCGAGGTTTGGAGTTAACAACCACTAGGTGGGGCCGTTCTGTAAAGAAATAAATCACCACGCTGTGTCCAGTGAAATGGTAAAATTAAGCAATTACCGGTACTGTGTTAATCTCGCACAGTGTAGCTTTTCCCGAAATCAGACCTGTAGTTATGCCACGTGGCACGATTCCATACGTTCTTGCTCCCACTTAAAATGAATAATTTTCAATTCAATTCAACGAAGTGATTGTTACGCAGAGAACAGAAGACTGAAATGCACAAAGCATGTTCACGATTTGGCTGAAAACAAAAAAATATATACAGTACAGTGTGATCATTGTTATGAAAGTGCACCAAGTACAATTAAACTCGAACCCACAAGACCGAGATCATAACAGATAAGTAAGTTAACATGAACAGTATTCACATGATTAATTTTTAATAGCGATTTAGATTGTACGTCGTTCTCTTTTTAATTTCCAGACTTCCAGGGAAATGATACCAGTATGGCCATTTCCTCACTTCTAGACGCAGGATTAAGATTTGTGCGGCGTTGCCAGTTTGTTTGCAGTTCTTGGATCAAATTCCCAAGAGGGTAATTGGGCGTTCCGTTCCGACCTGCTGTGTGGAGTCTGCATGTCGCCAGAGTGTGTTTTTTTTTTAAATTATCCGCATGCTTCGGTTTCCCTGTCCCCTTTCAAAGGCATCACTGAGCCAGAACAACTCGTGTCTTCAAACCGCGAGTGTCTGTACCCCGCGGAACGTGAAGTCCCACACAGCAAGGCTTCGCCCGGTTTGCGGCGACCCTGTAGGTGTTGACGGCTGCAGGCAATTAACTGGATGGATGGAATTTCAGACGCAATTGTCTCGGATGTTACCGGAGCACCGTTCGCTCCAGTAAGATAACATCGAGGCCCCGCGGGGATGCAGTGCGTTTTTATTTTAATTATAAAAGTCAGCAAGTCAGCATCTGTGGTTTCAAACTGTCAAACCGACACTTCTGAGATTAGATGGAGGGGGGGTTTGCCTTGAGCGATTTAGTTTTACATAGACTGCATAATCGTGGTCATTTGTCGTTCACTTGGAACAAAGTCATCTCCATGGCGGCGAGCTACATTTTAACCTGTAAGAACAAAAAAATCATTTACTCCACTAACTGCATTAATAGAATTAACACTGAACTATTGTATTCTATGCAATAGCCATTACGTTGATCTGCGGCCCACATTTGCAAGAGAAACAGGAGATTGCGGGTCCGCTGGCGCCACGTGCTTCTCCTTCTCCCCCGAGGGGGCGCTCCAGCAGGGTGGCCCGCGAGAGCGGACGTGACGTCGTTTAAACCCCCCAACGCCCCGTGCCGCGCCTAACCATGTGGACGTCTCAGGCTTTCAACTCGTTCGGAGCTTTGTGTTTCTCTTTCCTTTGCAATTGAACAAATCAAAAGGAAAAAAAAAAGATAACGCCACTTATTTAGAATGAACACAATCACACGGAAAGCTTCATCGTGTATGGAAGAACGGAAGGCCAATACTTGATGAAACTGTGGTCCTGTCTTTGTGACATTAGAGGTAGCCATATTAACTTTAAACAACCGTGTTATATTGAACAAAACCAAACAAAGTCCCTACTTTAGCGTCAGCAGACGTGGGCACAATACTGTAACTGTGTATCCTAGACCGCTTGCTGTTGTAAGTGTTACAATGCGGTTGAAAGATCTCTGGCCTCGTCGTTTCCTCCGGAGCCTGAAAAGCTGCAGTCAGGGGCTGTGGTGCACTAATTCCCATTTCAGACGGCTGAGGTCGGTGATGTTCTACACCTTATGGGAATACAGCGGCCTCGGTGCATTTTGAACGAATCGATACTAAGTTAAGACTTGCAGGCCGCGCATCTTGCTGGTTTTATACACAGTGGTACGGTAATGTCTTACCATAATGTCTGGCCGCTATTGCATAGACGTGACCTTGTTTATTTTCTCTTGATCACCGTCTGCTCACACAGGAAATATCTTTTCTAGTCCCGCGAAAGCTTAATCTGTTACGATCTGGCCTTTTTTTTTTGTGATTGTTATTGTCATTGTTTTTATCGTTGGCCAGCTTGTGCGTGGTTGTGCGCACTTTCCAGTGGCTGGAGAAGCAATGGGAAACGTATTTAAAAAGAACGATTTCGTGCAAGCAAAGCACGTGCTTGTCCGACACCACCTGACCTGCCAGCCAACAGAGGACCCAAAGTCACAGGCGGGCGCGTTCTTCACATTTCTTCTGAGCACTTGGGTCAGATGGGAGTCAGCGCAGAACAGGAAAATGCCAGGTGCCTGTGAGAGACCACAAACCGTCTGAGGATGAACATGTGACTCCTTGCACTCTGCCATACTTTGAGACAAGGAGGGATGTGAAAACTGCCCGTAAAACAGAATTCTATTAAGTTTGAGCATGAAAACTGTGCTAAATAGTTAATCATGCCACGGAAAGTTGATAAACACAAGTCCATTGAATGTGCTTTTTAAATTAGCTACTCGCGTGATTTTTATGTGATGCTTTGTATCTTCAGCAGTTGGCAGCACCATTGTATGTAAAATCAAATTCCCATTAACTCTCCTGAACGAATCGGTGCCATCTGTCATCTTTTGACTGGGTTTGAGGGAGATCAGGGAAGAACAGGCTGATCACAGTCATTACTGTAAGTGTCGATATGCATCTGGAGAAAGGTGTAGTGTTTGCACAGAAACGTCCTTCCTTGTTAGGGTGATTTTAAAATCCATTCCCATCTCAAACCTAGTGAGCATAGGGGACACCTTGTTCTTATTTGCATATTTATCCTCTCGTGTGATGGTGTTGTCCGTAAGAATTGCCCAGCTCTGATCCTGAAGGGCCACTGTGTCTGCAGATTTTCATCAGCTCAGCACCTTGTGACCAAATCCACCTCTTAATCTCTTAACTGTTCTTCCATACATTATGAAGTTTCCGGGTGTCTTGTGATACATGAAAATAAAGCCCCGAAAGGCAATCTAAAATCTGACAGCTGGAAACATCTTTGTAGGTTTGCACCTAATTTCCTGCTGGATGAAATCTATTGGAGGTTTTACTTCTCTCAGTCTTTCTTGAGAAGCACCTATGAGATCATGTTATAAAGCTTTTTTCATCCCCATACCTCCTGAGCTGAAGGAATGTACTGCACTGTCTCAGTGTGAGTTGGGATCACGACAGCATGGCAAACATCTTCGCTGAAAAGATTTCGAAAGCACCAGGGTGCCAAAAGCCATTAATCACGAAAGGCTGCTTTTCAGAGCACACCTGGGCTCAGGGCATATCCCCCACACCTGTCCTGCAGCACCTTGTAATCACTGCCTAATAACATTCTCAACTCAGAGGAGGGTTTGATTTCACACAGACTGTTCCCGAATGGGAGAGGCACAGCAATTGCACTCATAAATCTCCTCGCTTCGACATTCTTTCGACTGAAGACCTTTAAAAGAAGCGTTTGGTTTCCCGGCTGTGAATATGGGGCAGATACTTGGGTGTGAAGGAAAGACCAGGCTTGCCTGTCTGTAACGGTAACAAGCAGATGGGAAATCCTTAAATTCGACGAAGCGTGAGGCCGAGAAACCCATTTTACCTCCGGCTTTGACTGATCCCTGTGTTGACACAGATAGGATTAATTGCTTTCAAATTGCAAACCTTGTTTGGTCTAGTGAGTCTGTCTGCAATGCCTTGATCGCAACCCTCTTAAAGAGCCACATGTCTGCCTTTTTTATTTTCAAACACTGGCCTCGGTTAGGATAAGCATGTTATGTCTCGAGTCTTGTTTTCCATCACACCCCCTTACAGCAGAGGAATCTGTTAATTCCACATGGAATGAGCAAGGAAGTAGCATAGGTCCTATGCAGCCAACGCACCCTGATGCAGCTCTCCACTTTGGGATGAAGGATTCTATTGGGTGGTACACCGGGGTCAAAGGTTGTGTGCAGTTAGTTGTTAAAGTAAAGCTATGCCCGTTGCAAAAGATTAAGAGGATCTCGCCTTCTCTTTTGTATGAAAGCAAAAGCCATTTTTCATGGAAGAGGGAATTCATTATTTTCACCCCCACTCTCCCAACTGATGACAGGACACCAATCCAAGACCTTCAGGTAATTTCACTGTCCTTGCAAATCTGCAGCCTTATTTGTTTGTGCTGTTCACCGGGGACTGGTTTTGGTTCCAGCCCAGCCCTCGGTTAAGTAATGAAGCCCTGGATCCACCCCTAAATAGAATTCTTTTGAGCTCTCCGTGGCCTTCGAGCCCTTAAATCGCTTTTGGAGGTCAGGCTTTTCATCGTTGCATTTCATCAGGAGCTCAGTCCTCCACTTTGGGAGGAGAAAAGAAATGACACAGGGGCTCCAGTCAAGCACCTCGTTACTTCAGTTACATCACAAGCTCGTCTGGAATCAAAATTGAATCAAAACCAGGCCAAGGACTGGGAAGCCCCACTGTGCATCTTCAGCCAGGGGCGGGCAGTCTTTTTCCTGGGGGGGCCAGTGTGTTGGTGGGTTTTCAATCCAGCTCAGTTCCTTACCAGCTCAATCAGTTCATTATTGGCTGCCTCCGGATGACTATGCATTTTTGGTTTAAATTGTAAATTCTGCTGATTTTCTTTCCATTTCATCCGGTTTCCAAACTGATCCCTTTTTTTTCTGCAGGTTTGACTTCGGCCTTCACCCAGGTGTCTGTTATTCTGTGGTGAAAGGAAATTCCTGCGTCTCCAGCTAACGCTAATCAGGGATAAAAAATAAATCTCGAGGCGATGGGCTGTCTGTTCTCCAGCAGCGCCTGATGAAAAATCTTCTTTACAAATTCCTGGGTTTATTAGTCGACAGGTCATTTGCTATATAACTCAACATGTCATGGGCTGATCCTCGCTGATAATCAGCCGAGTATTTCCCCCACAACAAGCTCTTTCTCTTATCTAATTGAAGTGCTTGGAGTTAATAGCTGTTGCGTGCAGGCATGGATGTACCCAGCTCTTTAATAACTACGCATGCCCTCAGGTGATCACAAGACAGGTAATGATCTACAGCACTAGTCCCCATCTGGAGTAAGGGACAGCTTTTCACTTGCACTTGATCGGGCATGTCAATGTTTTTCATTTTTATTAAAATTGCACTTAGTTTGGAACAATGTTTTGAACAAAACTTTACACATGGCCTGTGTTTTAAGGTATTTTTATGTTTTAAGTAAAATCCAGACTTGAGACTAGAGGAGTGCGTCCCGGTTTGTGCAGTGTGGAGTAAGATGAGCATAGGTGAGTCCCACCTGGCTGAAATACTAATCAATCACAGGGTGCCCACCCCTTCAATGGTAGAATCCACTTCTACAGTGCAGTACAGTACAGTGAGCATTGTACTGAGGCACTTGGGGGTCATGAATCTTACAGTTACCCTGGTTTTGTCACAGATACTCACATATTGTGCAAACAGTTCTGCAAAACTCTCCCAAAAACTATAGAAATGTCACCCCATAGAAAAAAATTGAAAAGTTGAAAATCTTTAACTAGAAGGTCAAAGCTATGTTTCTTTTCAGACAGTTTCATTCAGATATTTTACTCCAGGTTAGAACTACGGGTTTTGGTGGATTCAAGGTAAGGCTCTGAAGCAAAGACAATGCCATTAACTGTAGGTGGGTGCAGGTCACCCAGGCTGAACGCTCATCTTGTGGGTATTGCTAGTCAGCAGCACCGGGCTTGCTGGGTATAGTCTAACTGTGTCAAGGGATCGGGATCATATCCCATGATCCTCAGCTCTCACTTGACTTGGTGCAAGGCAGCTCTGTGGAGCAGTAGGCAGGACCTCTGGTCTCTAATGGAGGAGGTTGCAGGCTCAAATACTGAGTGGGGATGTTGCTTTGTTTTGGATGAAAGCATCAGCCACAAATATTAATCTGTGTAATGGAACAGAAGAAGCTGAAACATTTACCCGTAGTTAATTGTCTTTTTTGTGCCAGTAGGTGAAACAGCATGGAGTGCTGTCTTCATTATGTCAACAAAAGGGGCTAAATGAATTATTCCTGAAATCAGTTCCTTATTGTTCTTTTCTCCGTTCAGACAGTTCCCATCCCTGTACCCTCCTGACCTGACCTGGGCTGTGCTGGCAGGTTCTTCACATCGTCTGTACGCCATGTCAGTGGAGATGTGGAAATCAAAGACTGCTTATTGGTGAAATTGAGAAAAGGGATATTAATGGTGAGCTGTTTTTTTCCCCACCCAGACCAAGCTGTATTCATAACTGCGACTGCTGTTGAATTAGTGGAAAAAACTAGTGGAGACTGTGGGCTAATTGTTGTTGCACATATAAGTACTGTACAGTATGTGTATTATGTTTAATGTCTAAGATTTATGCTAGCTATGTACTTCTGCAATCTGCTTTTCACCCAACACTCAAGATTCTGAACTTCTGTCAGTAACTAGAACTTAATGACTTTCCTTTGGTGACCAAGCCCAGATCCCTTCTTCAGCTCCTGGACTGTGCAGTGATCTCCCACAGGCGAAACTGTGACACGGTTACTACTTCTAAATCTAAATCAACACCGTACTCTACTGCCTTGACGTTTATTATCTGACGTACCATCTCTGCTCTCTGAACTTCATTGTGGTGTAGTGTACTGGGTTTTTATCCTGCCGCATTTTTACTGGGACTGTTTTAATTTTCTTTTTCTTCTTGTGAAGCGTCTTGAGTTATTGTACGTGAAAGATGCTGTTCAAAATCATGACGAGTCTTGTGTTTTTGATCTTGTAATTAGGCAACAAGGATAATGGCCAGCAGGAAACAAGCTTTGGCACAGAAGACAAAACAGACATTCTTTCAACCACAACTGACTGCAGAAGGTAAGAATGTTTCCTTTTACATTAGACAATTGCAATCACGTTTTTATCCTGCCACCTACGCTAATTGGCAACAGACAATGCGGTCTCAGCTTGCCCATAGTATTTGCATAGAATTACTCAGGGTGCTGTAATGCCAAAAGCAGTGCATCCATCCGGTCGCGAGCTGGTTGATGATGGGGCTGTGTGAGAGTTGAGGTCTAGAGTGAAAAATCACGGTTGGCCAATTGGAGCAGGGATCACAGACCCATTGGTTCACGTTCTTGCCCACTGAAAGCTGCACACTGTCCGTGATCGCGGCCCCATTTCTTAGCACTGAGGTGCTCCTGATCCAGCTCCAAACCCAGAAGACTCCAGCCCCTCCAGGAGCTGAGTTAGAGATCCCCGGCCTGGAGACTTGTCACTGAAAGTCTGCGTGTTGGGGGGCCGGGCTACCCCACAAATCCAGAGGTGCTCGCTGGATCTGGAACCACCCCCTGATCAGAACTGGCAGTGGAGTGGCCTCCAGCTGTCAGCGGACTCCGAGCAGAGCTGCAGCCACGTCTGGCGGAGCATGTGGAAGAAAATCGTTCCGGCGTGATCGAAAACATGGGCTCAGATGTTTTCCGAATGCGATTGCCGAAGGGTGCCATGTGTTCGTCCACTTTGCAGAGTGCTGGGAGATGGCAAGGCTATTTTCCTGTTTTGTTTATTTTTACAACAAAAGGCCAACACAACTGTTTTTTTAAAAAAAGGTCTTGCTTGGTGTCAGCGTGGCATTTAGCAGCTCGCTCTTTGTAAAGCGACCTGACGAGACCAGATCGTTAAATGGGTCCTATAATTGGGAAAATACAGAGCAAGCTGTTAAAGAATAATAACAGACCTGCTGCTGAAAATGCCTTTAATAATAATAATAATAATAATAATAATAATAATAATAATAATAATTCTTAGCAGTTATGTAATGGGGACTCCTT